CCTTGCCTTGCCTTGCCTTGCCTTGCCTTGCCTTGACAGTGCGCGAGGTAGGAAACTTTCCTTTCAGGCTTCGTGTCCAGCCCAACGTCCAGTACACTACTAACAGCCCGAGTCCAGCACCAGCTTTTTCTTGCCCAGAGTGAGGGGTCTCATAAAGTAAGGTAAGGTAGAGGAAGTGGAGGTACCTAGATTGATCAGAGCGCCTACGTAATGGTGGGGCTATGCTGGGATAGCCATCCATGAAATACAGCCTCGATCAGCTGTGAGAAAACGCAGACAGGTGGCTTAAGAGAGTGCTGTGATGACTATCGAGTTCTATAACTAGGTATTATTATAACCCGGGTCCTAGCACCATTTCCCTTCTCTTTCTATCCATTCATGAACGTATACCACTGCTTGGTTCTCTTGTAGCAGTTCCAAAGTGCCTCTTCAATGTCAGGAATCTCCGGATACCCCCGAACTTTTTAGAGCATCTTGCAGCTTGGCCATATCCAGTTTGCAATCCTGTAGGCCATCTAGACTAGGCATCCCGCAGGTCCAAATCTCTTTACATCGTGAGTCTCATTGAGTTTGAGTTCGTCCCGTCACAGAGAGTCAGCACTCTGTAATTTGTAACAGATGTTATGTCGAGGTCCGAAGCAAAAGAACGATGTTTTGTAGAGGGGAAGCCTGAGAGAACGCCCAGCTTGACTCGGCCTCCAGTCCTTTCCAGGCTGGACATTATACAGTCTCTCCATGTCGAGTAACAGCTGCTAAATGGCGCCTTGACTGCGATGTTAGAAAGAGAAACCCATAGGAGATGAGTCGGCGAAGGAAATTCTAGCCTTGGGTACTTCTCATGAGCGAAAATAGCAGCAGCCAAGCTTAGGGTAGCTTGACGCAGAAGTGAACATGCTCTTATTGCACTGAAACACCATCCCCTAGAATTTATGATTCATGTGGACTTGAATGACATTATGTCCGATTCCTCGCTCATGTTTCCTGTGGTTCACGTACTTGCACGATAATTGTACTCAGAATGCAGCATGAGAACGATCCAGATCCAGAACTTCTAAGAGTTATCATCTTCAAGACCTAGCCTTGAACCTTTCTTATTGTTCTTTTCCCCGAATTAATACAGACCTGATGTCCTTTAGTTTTCTCATGGTAGGATACAATTTCCGTGCTGTGCGGATTGTATCCCGTCAATGATCGACATAGGTTCCCAGGGCATTCGGAGGACAAGAGGGGTTGCCACGACTTGTGTTCAGCTCGTAACAATATCAATTTAGTATGGAGGCTCTTGGACATGTCATGTGCCAGCTTTATCACCTAAGTACTTGGGTAGCTCAGACCAGTGAGCGCCGCATGTCGTTGCAAACCAGGTTCAGCTGACGGCGCCTCAGGGCGTAAAGAGACCATGTCAAACAAAACCACTGTGCCAAAGACCTACAAAATGTACAGAGTAGGGCACCTACACTAGGGGCCTAAGGTAACAGAGCTTATATTTTGTACAACAGACCTAGTATATCAGATTAGGATAATTGCAGAAAATAAACCGTCGAAGCTAAGGATTATCCTCTACTTTGATTATCACATAATAGTCTTCTACTGTTAGGTTGTCACCTACCTAGTGGTGGATAAATCCGGCTGGGCGGTCAGGAGGCCCGGATCGTCTACATGCATACAGAGTAAGGGTCCATGGGTTGACCGAGCCGTTGGTGATCTTGGATCTAGAACACATTGGACTTGGTGGCTTGGGACAGGAGTCAAGACTGGCAATTCTATGATCTATAAACAGTTTGTAAGGGTCGTCAAATCCAAAGACACTGGCGATCATGAGGCTAGAATCTTGCGTAATGCTGGATACCTAACTAAATCCACAGGTTGAGAGAAACAATCAGTTATGTATGTTTCACTATCTCGGACACTCTCTGGGTTAAACCTGGGGTAAGGCTAGCTCGCTTGAATGTTTCGTCTCATCATTCGGCCTGAACAATGAACACACACCATTACGGCGTCCGGACCGGCATTTAATTTGCTGTTCGGGGGCGGTGTCGTAGCCGGAGTCCCGGCTGATTGACAGCCTGCAAGATCCGATCAACTGTAACCAACCTCCGGATGCTACCCAGTTGTTGCATAAGCGCAGATCAATGAATGATGGTAGCTGGAGGCCTGAAATTAATCAATGACTTGCAGTGTGACAAGAGTCTAATCACATTCAGGTACCAACTCGCGACCAGTCATCGAATCCGAATACGACAGTTAATGCATGTAACGCGGCGCTAATGCCCCTATCGGTCGGCAGCACCCACCTACCAGATGAGAAATTGAGCTCTGTGCATAATTTGTGGATTTATCCGGAGCGGAGGTCAACCAGTCTTATTTTGCTTCTCCCATCTGTCCTCTCTCTCGCCTTTCCTCTCTCCAAGCATCTCGTGGTGAAAATACACACCAAAGACGTTTCCGGGACCTGGTTGCAACTTAATTGATATATATATTTCGCTTCCTCCCGTTTCCCTGGCCTTGTACGTCTGTATCAAGACGTGCACTGCTCAGTTCAAGCTCTTGCGCGCTTCACTTCTTCCTTCTCCTCTCCCCTCACGCTACCACCGCCAAGATGGGTTACCTCTACTACCTCTTCCACCCTTACCAGCTTCGATCGATCATCCAATGGTAAATTTATATCCTCTCGGCCCTCGTACCAAACAGACCATGTCTAACAACGCTTCAGGAAGGTCTGGCATGATCCCGTCCACCAGCGCAATCCCAGCACAGAGTCCCCAGAGCTGAAAGAATGCTTTCGTTACCTCGATATGACAAGTCGCAGTTTTGCGGCTGTCATCCAAGAGCTTAACCACGAACTCCTCGTCCCAATCACTCTCTTCTACCTCTGCCTCCGTGGCCTAGACACCATCGAGGATGACATGACCATCCCGCTGGATAAGAAGATTCCCCTCCTTCGAAACTTCCACATCACCATGGAACAAGATGGTTGGCAATTCCATGAGAGTCAGGAGAAGGACAAGGAGCTGCTGGAGCACTTCGATGTGGTCATTACAGAGCTCAAGAAGATCAAGGCCCCCTACTACCAGATCATCAAGGAAATGACTCGCCAGATGGGCAATGGCATGGCCGACTATGCCCAAAACGAGGAGATGATCAAGAATGGTGTGCAGACTATTGAGGAGTACGAGCTGTACTGCCATTACGTCGCTGGTCTCGTTGGTGAAGGCCTAACACGTCTGTTCGTTGAGTCAGAGCTGGCTAACCCCAAGCTTGCTGAGCGTCCTTCTCTTACCGAGTCGATGGCCCAGTTCCTCCAGAAGACCAACATCATTCGAGATATCCATGAAGATTGGCAAGATGGCCGAAGATGGTATCCCAAGGAGATCTGGAGCCAGCACGTCGACAAGTGGGAGGACCTGTTTGACCCCAGCCAGCAAACAAAGGCCCTAGAGTGTGTCTCAGCGATGGTTCTCGATGCGCTGAAGCACAGTGAGGAGTGTCTGTTCTACATGGCGGGCATCAAGGACCAGAGTGTTTTCAACTTTGTCGCTATTCCTCAAGGCATGGCCATTGCGACATTGGAGCTTGTCTTCCGCAATCCTGAGGTCCTCAAGAGAAACGTCAAGATCACAAAGGGTGATGCCTGCAAGATCATGTTCGAGTGCACACAAAACCTCTACACAGTATGTGAGGTCTTCAAACGATATGCCCGACAAATCGCCAAGAAGAACGACCCCCGCGACCCCAACTTCCTTGCCATCAGTGCTCAATGTGCAAAGGTATGCCCTCCTCCTTCACATCTTTGATGTTCATTCGCTAATGAAATCCAGATCGAGCAATTCATCGAGACTCTCTTCCCCAAGCAGGACCCCAAGAAGCTCTCGGTGACCCAGACCCAGGTGCAAAACAAGGAGCCAACTATGGACGGAGGCGAGACTCTTGTTCTCTTCGGTGTTGTGATTGCAGCCCTGGTCTGCATTTCTGGTCTTATGGTACGCCAGCCCCATACTCTCAAGGCCGTACTCAACTAACATCCGATCCACAGATTGGTACCGCTTGGATCTTCGGAGCCAGATTCGATACTATCTTCAGGGAAGCCAGTGTCTTCCTACCAGGTGGCGAGAAGGCTACCCCCATCATCACGGGTCACGAAGAATTGTAATATTATGCGCGCCGATTTGTTTTGCTTTGTTCACGGCACGAACCTTTTTAACGATATCCTAACGTACATACCACATTTAGCAATGGTCCTCATATGATGGGACCTGCTCGGCGGCATATTGCTGGGCTTTATACTCTTGTTAATACTACCTGCAACGGCGCGATACAGCGCGCGTTGCAGTTCAAGTTTCGTCCCCCGTTCACCCACTGGTGATGATGATGATGTTTTCTCTTGTCTTGATACCCAACTCAGCTCCTGCACGGATGTCAAATTGCAATCGAGTCCTTCCATGACTATGATTGTGCCGAAGAAGTGCGAAAATTAAATATCTCTTGCTCTTGGTTTCCGCCTCACGGCGACGTCACGCCACAAGTCTATCTCGGCATCTCAAGGATGACAGACTAGTGGCGGCGGGCAAACATTTCATCCTTGTAGAAATTAATTCATATCTGATTCGACCCGTGTTTGGCGATTCTTGCTCCTTTGGGACGTGCTATTACTAGTAAGGCATGAAATGTGTCTGGGCAAGGTTTCACTTTTGATGCTGTTGGTGCGACATGCTGTTACACTACCGACGGGACATGCCTTAGCCGATCTTTCATCGACGGACGTGCTCATCATTCAGGGGTTTTGGTTACATCGTCCTGTTCTTTTTTGAACCATCAAGATGCAGCTAATAAGAGAATGGCAGACACTTTGGCCTTTGATCTTGACAAAACACTGAGATAAGTTTAGAATAATGATATAATAAATGGCCTAGATTATGGTTTACAAAGGGGGTTCAGCTTAGCAAGTTCTCGTATTAGTTGATTGAGGCCTCAATTCGTAACATCATGTCTTGTTATACCCCTAGCACCACGAGTCGTTCACATCGCATCCGCTGGCTGTAGTAAGTGGCGCACGTCAAACTTGTCACTCTATGCATCGATGGGAAGTAAATGGTAGTCTAGAAGGTCTATAATGCCGTTACGTACCATCTATAGTAACAAACACGCTCGGTTAGGCTATTTCCAAGCCTCAAAGAAAACTCCTGATACACATGACTTGAGATGATTCATAAATGACACCCTAAATTATATCCCATACATACACGAGGCATAAATGGTTCAGGTTTGTACAAGTGGCCAATTATCCTGAAATATTTTTGTGGTATAAGAAAAATTCCGCTTTCCCTAGCCCCTGGGTTCCCTGGTTGATGCTGCTGCTGCCGCGTTGCTGCTTCTATTGGTTGCCGTTGTTGGCGATGTTGCTGGTAGTGCCCTGGACGTTGTTCTTGACCTTGGCACCGGTCTGTCCAGCGAGGCTCTTGATGAGACTGGCGACCTGGGCAGGACCGTCGAGCTTCTGGAAGCCCATGAGGTAGGCGGCGAGACCGGCAACGTGAGGAGAGGCTATGAAACATGTTAGCTTGAGACTTGGCTTGATATAGGTGGGGAAGGAAGACATACCCATGCTGGTACCACTGAGGGTAGCGGTGTCAGTGGTTGACTTGATGCCGACACTGAGGACGTTAACACCGGGAGCATAGACGTCGACCTCAGGGCCAAAGTTGGAGAAATCAGCACGCTCATCGGTGGTGGCGTCAATAGCACCGACAGTGATGGCGTTGGGGGCAGAGCCAGGAGAAGTGAGGGAAGTCTCACGCTATGAACATAGTCAGTTAGGTTACAAATCATAGCAGATAGTTGATCACTTACGTTCTCGTTACCGGCAGCAACAACAGGGACAACACCAGCGTTGAAGAGAGCCTCGATAGCACGGTTGATGGCCTGAGAGAAGTCACCGCCAAGAGACATGTTCATAACAGCCTTGCCAACACGGTTCTTCTTCTTGGCATCGTCAATAACGAACTGCATGCCCTGGAGGACACCAGAGTTGCTGCCACCTCCTGAGGCATCGAGAACCTTGACGGCAACAAGGTCAACCTTCTTAGCAACACCAAAGGTAGCACCACCGATGGTACCAGCGACGTGGCTGCCGTGACCGTTCTCATCGTCATCCTATATTCAGTTAGCCCCATTTCTTTTCTAAGTGTTCATGAGTCTTTGGTTACTTACAACATTGTTAATGAAGTTGGCTCCGAAAGTGGCACGGCCCTCGAACTCGGTGTGATCAACCTTGATACCAGTGTCGACCACGTAGGCAGTGATGCCCTCACCAGCGGAGTCGTCGAAAACATAGGTGTCCTGGTTGACCTGGGCGTGGGAGAGACGGTCAAGTCCAGGAGGGGCATTAACTTGAGCAATAGCAGCATTAAGTTGAACTTTCTGGTCGGCCTCGATATATGCGACCTCATCAGAGTTGTAAAGATCCTGAACCATGAGATCATCGGCGTCGAGAGACATGGCACGCCACTTGTTCATGCGGAATGACTGAATTGAAGTAGACATGGCCTTGCCGATCGAGCTCCGCTTGTTGAGGTTTCGCTTCTTGATAGCGGCAGCAAAGGAAGCCTCCTTGGCACTGATCGTATCGTCGTCAAAGGTATCATTGTACACAACAATATATCGGTTAGCGATGATGTTTTGAGCATCGGGGTTCTTGAGCATAGGTCGAAGGAAAGAGCTAATTCCCATCTTCTTATCCGCTTCATTTCCGAGGCCACCTCCGATACTGTCGGCCATATCACCCAGGGTCTCGGCAACATCGATAGGAGCAGCGGCAGCCAAGGGAGCTGCAATGAGCAGGGAAGCGAGGAAAGTTCTTAGGAGAGCCATTTTGGTAGATTTATCGTTCGTTTTTGTGGTTTAGTTGTAAAAATATGTTGTTGAAGTGAGAGGTAGTGAAGTGGTTCCAGCCGTTTCACTCAGTTGGCAACTCGATCGTATAAATCGAATGTCGAAAAATAATGAAGGCAAGCTTTGAGTTGGAAACAAAGCAGTAAAAGAGTGCTATTAGAGGAGTTGTGCGATCAACGCTCCTCTCTTGTTGTTGAATAAGGATCGGTCGTGTTAGTTCGCAAGTTCGCGATACACTGTTCAGTATAACAATGAAAGGATGGTGATTAACAAGCTAAATGGGACTGTCTAGCAGCACAAGGGGGAAAGGAAACCAAGGGAAAGGAAGAATGAGAAAATAACGAAAGAGTCAAAAGAGACGTCTTCCAACAATGAATAACCCGAACAATAGAATGAGAATGGCCGTCCAGCAGCTGACAATGGGTGGGAGATGTGGGTTTAATAGGAGAGCACCGAACAATAGAATATCGGCCTCTCACTGGTGGCTTCAGCAGGTTCAGATCAAGCTTCGCTGCTTCAGGAGGGAGCCGCAAGGCAAGATCCATGGCGGGGATGAGGCGCTAGGGGCCGTGGATCCAGGGCTTCGGCGTCAGGGACAAGGGCGTGGAGGTGTTGTTTAGTTTAGTGCGATGAAGCCTGTACGACTACAGTCGCCAAGTCAAACACCTGGGCCTCACTCCAAGAACCCCTTGGAACCATCAAGATTTTCTGTTTTCGGTGGGGTTTTCAATGCTCATGCTTGCTCAGCCAGCTCGTTAATTTGAATCACTATAGTCTGCTCTGCCACAGGAGCTGGGGATGCGAAAATCTGGCACACTTGCGGTGGCATCGAATCGACGACGAAACCATAATTGCTTTGAAGCAGTTATAATAGTGTGTGTAACTGCAAGGGCATCTGATCGATTGCCATCACTGATTGGTATATTCAGAATTGGCGTTTGATTACTGTTTCTCGAAAACAACAATCTTGGCCGCAATAGCAGCACGTCCCTTATTCTTTTCCGTAATGCGTTGGGCGAGAAGAACCGTTGTCGTTGCCCACAACCCGCAGGCCCTGTGAAGAACCGCCAATGATATGCAGCAAATGCCGCCTTATCACGGTAAATCAAAGAGCTGGCGCGTCACATGTAGGACAGTAGTTGCACTTATTGAGGTACCTAGCTAACGGCCAGTGCTTCGAGTGCTGGTAGCGGCACGATTAGCTCATCACTATCCGTAATCTTGTTGCCTTTAAGCAAGGGGCAGGGAAAATCCGAAAATCCAAAAGCCTCCATCCAGGGCGTATGCGAGGATGATCATTCATGGCCGACTCCTGCCATCAGCTAGCCTTTGCATCACATCCCCAGACTGTCAAGTATCTTGAGATGAATCTTGCCGGCCAGGCCAAGACCTAACCAAGGACGATGTATACCCATAAACAGTGCACATTGGCAATATCACGGCGGTTTTGTTACTCAGCTGAGAAATCGTGATAAAGCAGTACGATTGGCGGCCAGTACTGAATCTCAATGTCACATCATCACGGAAGATCCACTCACTGGAAACCAGCCAAGCCCTTCCAAGAATCGGCGCTTGACAACCCCTGGGGTACCCCTGTCAATCCCAAGTTTGAAACAAGTGACGCTAGGCTTTGGCGTCTGGATCTGCCAGGCACAAGTCGATTTGGTTGGCTGCTGAAGTCTCTTCCCACGCGGCGTCTTATATCCAAACGACGCTGATTCGAAGCGCCGTGTTAACAAACGCCGGATGTCTCTGAATTCGAAGTGATACGTGTGCAAATAGTCTTTGTTTTGTTTTGTCTGTCGTATGTCGGAGAAAAAGTTTGCATCTTGTTCTAGCGTGCGCCCCCTTTGCAAGATCTTCTCCATGGCTCAGTGTCGCAAATATACAGAGCCAAGGGGTTGTTTTGGGAATCCTGAAGGGGCTCTAACGGCCGAGTCCAACGGACGATGAGCATCTTGGAGGGTGCTAACCCCGGGCCTGTCGGGGATATAATAGGTAGGGCGCCATGCAGGCCACAAGCTAAGCGTGTCTCGGAGACAACCAGGGAGCAAGGTGCTGTATCGAATTCTGGTGTGGCTCAGCAGGTGAAGGCCAGCGAAATGACCAAAGGGCATGCTTTAGCAGATTTGGGACCGATCAAAGAAGTCGACCTTCTCGAACAAGGCAAGCAGCTAAGGGCGATTCACCTGATTTGTGTCATCCATCATGGATCGATATTTTGATTGAGACGATACTGGATAAGACCAGGGTCAGGACGGGTTGAAACACAACCAACAAGCGACGACCTCGGTAGAAGTCTTTAGCAGAGGAATAATGGTCTGCGTCGTCTGCGTCGTCTGCGTCTGGGAATATCTTCTTTTCTTCACATGCTTGAGTGAGTTGACTCTTATTAGCATGCGATGCCTTTGAAGCAACTGCTCATGACTAATAGCACAAGGGATCACTGAAGGGAAGGAGCGCGCTTATTACAGAAGAACCCTCCCTGCCAAGCGACCTATCAAAGGCTATTTTCTGGGTCTCTCAAAGCAACAAGTCAACAACAACAGACAAAATATGTTTGCCTCATTTTTTGTTAACACAAAACACAAAGACACACCAAAACCGATGATCGTCTTTTTTCGAGTCGGGCCTTGACATGTTTTGAGCTGACGAAGTTCTGAAACCGCAGAATCGCATCCACGGAGTCTAGATCGTGCCGAGACGGACTTGACACACAGACATCCTTGCCCTATATCATCCATTGTCCACTGGCGGCCCAGTCATTCTGCCAGGAAAACTGCCATATGTACGACACTACGGAAAAGCGGCAACTGATCTATGTACCGCGGAGAGGCTCTTGCTCAGGTCCGATTGATCTCCATTATCAATCATGGCTTCTTGTCATCTGGAGGATGATATGTCATTCTGGCCTCCACATTACACGGCCCAAGCCGGAGATTGAATGTCACGGCTACCTTCCATATTCTACACGCATGAGTATACACCGCCTTCTATGGTTTCATAAGTCATCAGCTATTCAGTTGAAACCCCATGTGACTGTCTGTAGACAGTTTTATGTTGCCAAGGCTATATCGAATTTCCGAAACCGTATTTCGAGACTTCGAAAATGAAGTCCAAGGCAAGTCAAGGCTGCTAGACACACATGTAGAAGGTCAAATTTGACCCCAGTGCTACCAAGACTGATAGTTGAGAACTTGTGTCTTTCTGTTCGTTGTCAAAGCAGCATTGGCACCTGTATCATTATCCCAACTGCTGCTAACGTTGTAGACCGCCTTTGATGCGAATCCTTATCATCCCTACAACTTAAAGTCTTCATTAACTTGATCTCCTATTTAACCATAAAATAATACTCCCTTGAGACTTGAATTTATCCTTCCAAACATCTCTTTAACCATAAGTAGTTTCAGAGCATCGTTTCGTTATTTGACACAAGAAGTTTTTGCCATTTCCTACACGAACCCCTTCTCGGGATTAACATGCTTCTAATCATTCTTCAGTGTCTCTCTTTTGTCTGATCGACACGGCATCCAATGCAATAGTCGAAACCATGCACGTCATCCGTTACGCCCACTATCCCGATGGCACTTTTATTACAGATTTAACCACCAATACCATCACATGGCACCATTTGAGGCACCTCTACACTATTCAGCCTTCCCCCAGGTTCATTACAAATGAAAGCTGACACACCTTCTGTTCCAAATGCCCCCAGACGATTGAGGCTCGGAGCTTTTCAGTGTAGAATCATAAAAGGCGAGCTGTCACCGCAGCATTCGTGCTTATTTCCTAGGGGATCCAAACCAAATCGAGCATATTTCATGAATGCCGAAGAAATAAATTGGCCTTGTACTCGATGAACTCGCAGTGAATTATTTTTCAAGTATCTATCTTTTCCATTTAATGGCTTATACCAGCTGTCCCCAAGACTTGTTGTACTATAAAGTTCTCAGCTGCCTTTCACAGCAAGTTGCAAAGGATGGATGCAATGCTGGCGTGGCCTAATTCTAGCCCTTAGAGAAACTGAATGAGATCATTTACAAAATTACAATTCATGTTCCAGAAATGTTTGATTCTGCAATTCGTATCGTTTTCAGTGGTCTGTCCGGACTACAGTTCGAGTGTTTTATTTCTCTCTCTGGGTCAGCTAGCTACAGTCTTCTGCCTTATGGAAGAGACATATCCTTTGATTACGGGAGATTCTTAATCAAAGGCCATTATGTGCTCGTAACGATTCAGACTCACATAATTTCAGGGGGGCCTACATTAATATATTTCTGTGTATTTCAAAACTGGAAGAGTTAGGGAAAAAGTAGACCCCGAATCCTAGGTGACTGAAGTCTTGAGCCGGCCTGATATGAATTGGTGTAAAACTTGTGATTTTCATAAATTCATCCTTTTTGTTTTCTTCTCAAAGGTACAGAGTGCCCGAAATTCACAACCTTGAGGCCAAGACCAATTTTTCACTAACAATGACTAAAGACAAGCCTACAGTTTGCGATTAAATAAAAATTCAAAAGAATTATTCTAGCTATAAGGCTCTCTATTATCGGAAAGGTTTACAATGCTTTGGCTGTCAGTATCATCCATGTTTGTCAAATTGGCAACTCTGGTATGTAAGGAAAAGGAAAAGGAAAGGTGTTGCGAACCAAGCGCTAGATTAAGTTATAAAAGCTATTCGAAAGACCTTTTATATTTCTCTATCTTTATATCTATTTAAGTAGTTACGTTTATAGAGGGCTATAATTATTGATTGATGGCTGAATACCCTACGATACTGACATTCCTTGGTGGTATAAACTATCTAATTAGCCCAAGGGACTTTGATAAATTTGAGGACATATAGCTATTCTATGCATCTACTTCTCTCCGGTGACTCAACCTATGCTCTCTTCGAGTGACTCAAGAAACAGTATATCCCGAGTTCGGCATCGGTCAATAACTTCTGACGCCGAGGAGCGGGGTTAACTTGGTCGACGCCTTCTCATGACTGCGGGTTCCACATTGATTCCTCATCAACATCAACGGATATAAACATCGGCCACAGCCTGAGCCCGACTATCGAGTTGTATAAAAGTCAGAATTCTCCTTGAACTATCCAGTTGTTCCGTATCACTTAAAGCTTTGTGCAGTTGCCTATCGAACTCCAATATGCCTGACTACGCTTCTATCGAAACAACTTTGGCTTCTATAGCTGCCAGCTCTCAAACTATCGAGCTTCTTCGGGACCTTCACAAGCAAGCTCTCGACGAACCGCCCTACGTTAGCACAGATGGGCCTGCCTCTACCGCACTTGACAAGTTTGTCGCATTGGACCCTGATAAGTGTGCCTACGTGTATCTCCTTCTGCGATCTATGAAGGCACGTTTCGTTGTCGAAGCAGGGACATCATTCGGTGTCAGCACTATCTACCTGGCTTTGGCAGTTTCTCAGAATGCTGGATCACAGCCAGGAAAAGTCATTGCAACTGAGAACGAACCTACCAAGGCTGTTAAGGCTCGCAAGTACTGGAGCCAAGCTGGTGATGATATTGAGAAATTTATTGAATTACGAGAGGGCGATTTGCGGGAGACGCTCAAGACCGATCTGCCAGAACAAGTGGATTTCCTACTCCTAGACAGTAAGTCAGCCCCCGTGGCGACAAAGGCATTCTTCCCTTGCAGAGTGTTACTAACCAAACTGCAGTTTGGACCCCTCTGGCTCTGCCTACACTCAAGCTTGTCAAGCCGCGCATGAAGCCAGGTGCTACAGTAGTTGCTGATAACACTGAGGCAGCCAAGGCAGGTTATAAGGATCTGATGGCTTATCTAGAGGACGCTACCAATGGCTTCAAGCTCACTACGCTTCCATATTCCGGAGGTCTTTTAGTTGCCGTATACCTTGGAAACTAGAAGTCCCTTGACAGATCCAGAAATGCAACAATATCCAAGAATTATCCAATTTGTAAATATGACAAATTTCAAGAATACATGTTCTTGACGTGTAAGCCAAAAGGCTGCTAGGACTTACATCGTTGTTGTGTGTTGGCTAGTCTTTATTTCGTTGATAAGAATCGGAGATTCATAAACTTTCGTTGATCCTTTTCAGAATGATACTTATTGTTATTTAAAAAAGGCGCCATTGAAGTTCTGCTCATAAAACAAACATATGGTATGTTAATGCACTTGAGGAAGTGTCATTCTGTGAGTCGAGCCGTGGAGATATAGATTCGGCATTTGTTGATGGAGCATCTGCAAGCTGTTGCTATTTATGACAAGGATCTTCATGCAGAAGAAGATCATCGGCAGTTGAGGAAGATCATTAATATGCCAATATTCTTCGACAAGTCAGTATGCAAGAAAAGAATTACCTTCTTGACAATGCACTGCCTCAAGGGTCACGAATACACAGTACCTTACTCAAAGTTGAATGACGACGCACGGTGATATAGGGTACGCGATGATGATCAAAATTTGATGCTACGCTGAATATGACACCATGGTCTTAATCGACAAAAACACTTGGACAGTTTTATGATAAGCGTTGGAGACTTTTGATTGGCTTTTTTCAGCTGTCTAATTGAATATGTCATACTTTTCTTGCTCCCTAGGGAAAGGGCACAACATAGTATTGGATTGAATGGCGTCTGAAGATAATCAATTGTGTTCCAGATGAAAGACTCACTTTATTTGACTGCTCCCTCGAATACAAAGCTGGCTCTTGGAATGAATCCTTGATAGCGTCTAGCTAGACTAACGAATCGATAACGCATCAACGAGAGGAGAAACGGGAAATAAGCAAAGCCGAGTAGATCGCGCCGGGCGCGGCGCTAGCAGATGAACAACTTTCAGGGTCTTGCAGGGGGTTGTTGTGGAAATCATGATGCGCTGGCTCGAGCGAGAGGTAAAGAGGCCATTCTGGATGGAAGAATCTGACCATTGGGTGGAGGTTGGATAGAGTTTGGAGATGCCTTGTGCCCAATGACGTGATAAGTTGCTGATTCAGTCGGCGCCTCAGTTACCCAAGGCAGAGGCTGGGCTGAGGACTTGGGTGACACATTTGGCCAAAGTGAGGCGTTCATCGGATTGGGTTGTTTGGTTGATCGCCTGGCCTGAGCTGCAGAAAGGAGAGTGGAGATGCTAAGGTTTATCTACCTACGGCGCTGGAACCTGTAGCAGCAGCCATGGATAATTTCAGCGTTTGTTACCAGATGAACAAGATAAAAAAGATGAATAAGGTTTCCCTTTGTCTTGGATCGTTGCTAGAGAACCGTTGCTGGTAGGTTACCTGCAATTACAACCTCAATTCCATAAAACCGGACTCCCACATGTCTTGTCTTGCTGTGGAGATCCCCCGTTGCCGCTAAGCACGCGACCTCCACTAGGTTCTTTGATAACGATCCGTCGTGGACAATTCCTGTGCCAGCATTGACAAGATGCAACTGTATTTACCGAAGAAGCAGAGTCATGTGTTGCGCCGACGTGGCCATGACGGGGACGGTAGTATCGATGCCTTATCTTGAAAGGCCAGATCATAATGGGTGGGCTGCAATACGAGCGAGCATGCACATTTACAAGGCTAGGTATGTAAGACTTTCACTGCCACTCAAGACAAAACAAAACAAGACCTGGGCTGGATATGCTGCAACCACCCACGCAATCTACATTACCTAGGCTTGGTTGGTTGAGCAGTAAGACGGGTATTAAAGGGAGAGACAATGAAGAGAAACATGGCAATCAAGTTAATTTAGTTTAGTTGCCAGCAGCGGGTTACTCAGCTGTAGAATAACAACAACAATGAATAATATGGATAGAGGCGGAAGTGAGTGAAGGGAGGGGATCTCGCTAGCTATGCACCTCAGTAAAAGTGCGGTGCTTTGCAGTGCAGTGCAGTGCAGCATCTGCTAAACAACGCCTCTCATTTCCAATTTCACTCCCACTCCCGCTCAACGCAACGGCTGGCTCATCTTTCAATCCTTTCCTCTTCCCGTCCTTCTGTTTTCCATCTCCATCTCTATTCCCCAATTCTTCTCTACCTACCATATCTTCTTTTCCTCTGCTTCTCCCCTAAACTCTCTTTGCCTACCTACCTGCCTATTCAAAGTCGCAATCTTACGAAATCACCTCTCATCGCCTTCATCCGTAACCGTGGAGTTCATTGATTGACTGGGGTTCCCATCTCATCGACTGTCGTATCGCAACCCATCATATTTCCTTTTTTTTAATTACCATTCCCCTCCCTGGAGGGCAATCACCTGTTTCTCATCCCTCCCGTTCCCTCTCCCGTCCGTCTGTGTCCACCGTGAACCAACCGAAACTTTGGGGGCTCAATCTCCAGCCCTTGAACCTTGTGGTCGATAAACTACTTTACTTTCTGCTCGTTCACTGTCAACCATAATCTGCTCCTCTTCTTTCAACAACAGCCGCTGCATCCTGTATTCGAGTGCCATCATCCAACCCCAGCCCGACCCTATTGAGATGCACCACGTGCCGGCCTTGGAGCCATCTTATGGAGAAACTTGAATCGCAACCAGATACCGATATCGATATCGATATGGGAGACTCTATCAGTGAACCTATGGATACGGCCGATGATGGCCACACCGGCCCGCGTGCGCCTTGTCCTACCTCGATTCCTGCATCCGCCCTTTTACCCATCCGAGATAGTTATACACCACGAAGGAACGACCTGAGCGATGGTCGAGACGATGATGCCGACTCCGATGCAGAATTTGCCTCTATCATGGCTACGTCCATGCTGAATGGCATTCTCAATACCGCTTCCAACCCCGTCTCTCCTGGCTCGTCCAGCCCTTCTCATGATCAAGCCAAAACATCCGATTTCGTTCCTCCGACGAGACCGAGCAGTACACCATTCCCTCATCCTGATCGTCGACACTCCAAACCATGCTGCTCCAGCGGTTCTCCGCATGGCCCCGATCACGATACTCCCACTGACTCAATCGCTTTCCCCGATAACGAGCCAGTGGTCCTTCCTCGCCCTATAACCGATTTCAACCAGCTGCCAATTGAGGTTCATGAAGCGATACTGGATCATCTGTTCGGGTATCGAGTTTCCGCTACATCGCGAAGTTCAATGGCCGTATCGAGTATTACAAAGAGTTGGGGGACGGCACTTAGACATTCGAGGAGAAGGGAATTGACCGAGTTGGCGCTTGTGAGCGATGTTTGGCGGATTCTTGTTCAACAACGGCTATATCGTCATATTAAACTGAAAGCGACTGTGGACTGCCTGGAAGATGCCATGGTTCACCTAGCTCTGCACGAGCATCTGCAATCATATGTCAAGCACATTGAGATCTGGTTCCCTGTTTTCCAACCAACCTACGGACCTGTCGCTCTATCGAATACTCTGACGCTACCTACAGTCACCATGGAAGGACTGACTAACGCGACATACACTTTGCCTGGCAACAACTGTACCCTTGAGCAAGTGTTTCAATTCGTTGGACAGACTTTACCCCAGGCCAGAGTTTTGACCCTGGAAGGAGGCGAGCGTCGCAAGGCCCCGAGAGTTCTTCACTTTCCCGAGCAGAGGATCGATCCGGCCATTTACAAGCCGCTGCCTGTCCTCGATACGGTGCAGACTCTAGTCACGAGGGGCCAGTGGAATCTTATGCGAGATGATCAGGACTTTGCAACAGTTTTGAATGCTTTACCAGGTCTTTATGAGTGGCAAGGCTCCTATAGCAAACCAAAGTCAAAGAGCTATATTACTATGGCCGAGTTTCTTCCAAAACTCCCACGCCACATCACGAATTTGAGTCTTTGCCTCGAGAGCGACTATCGTCGAGAGGGGGTCATGTCACCATTCTATTCGAAGGTCGTACAGAAGACGCACATTTGTGCAAGGATGGCCGAGGCGTTACCTTCATTAGAGCATTTCGCCTACACTGGCCGTGTCTGCCACCACTTTTTTGATGTGGCTATGCGGTCAACTGACCCGCGAACTGCCCGACTCAAGACTCTGGACTTGACAGTCAAGAATTGCTGTCGATACAACACAAGCTTCCACGAGACTGGCTCTGGCATTCAAGATATGGCATTCATCGAGGCCTTTGAAAAGTTGGTACTGTCTGCGATTCGATCACTGGAAAAGCTCAAGGAAGTGGTTTATCTGAGGATTCGGTTTGTTGATCTTGGTAAGTTTAAATGCAGCTCAGCCCTGAATTTCTAATTAACGTGAATATCAGACTCTGTACTACCCCCTCTCAACCCGTTCTTCATCTTGCGCAAGGGAGCCTGCTCTGGCGTGTGGAGCGAGAGGATTTTGGCCGAGATGGGTCGCGTACGCCCCGATGTTCATTTTCCAGAACTGAGTGAGTCTTTTGGCAACATCGTGTACAACAAGGACGGAAGAATGGTCATTACGCCTGACCCTCCGAGGACGAAGATCGCATCACTCAAGTTGTCGAATTATCGATCTCTTGCGACTGGCATCACGATTCAGTGAGAAATGCATGCCAACATAAAAAACTATGAATCTTAAACCACAGAAGACAGCCAGAAGATCGATACGGCTGGATTATACATATGACACATCACTCTTTTTGTTTTGAGACGGCGTTCAAGGTTTGGAACTATGGAAAGGAAGCTGTTAATTGAAACCACATACCCAGGAGATTGGGAGTTATGGGGGCGCATGTATACACGGGAATTGCTGTCATGGCTTTACTTGGCCTTGAGAAGAACTTGCTTGGGATCTGTTGAAAAGTCACGAAATGGAAGAGAAGACGGCGAGGTAATTTATCTCAGGGGATACGAGCTTCCATATACCCTCCACGATACTGGCGATTTAGTAGTATAATCGATGAATAAGATTGTCTGAATATCTATGCTATCTTTATCATCAATAAAATATCCATGCTTACTGCACGCCTGCTTCTGTATTT